CAGAGGAGCCCACCTGGTGTCGGGCCTGGGAGTGAGGGCGATGACCAGTCCCATTGGCCCGCCCTCCCTAAGCCTGCCCGGTTACCAGACGAGGCCCGGAAGTTTTCCTGGGCCAGAGCCCACGGTCCCTGTGGTGGCCTCTAACCTGGCCCACTGGGCTCCCTCCTACTGCTACCACAAAGGGCTGCTCTAGCGCTTCTCCTTGGTGCCTCTAAGCCCAAGACGCACGATCCCCCTGAGCTCTGTTCTGGGAGACAGTGTTCCAGAGCCCCCCTGTATCAGGCCATGCCCCCGCTCCCTTGCTTGCTTTGCCTAACCCCTCTTTGAAGCCGCTTTGGCCAACAAAAGCTATTTCCCATCTGCCCAGGGCCTATTTTCTTCTCCTTCCCATTTGTTCTCAGTTACAAGCTAGAACTGTACTTCTGGTTTTGCTAGCCACAGGGCTGACTCTTCAGACTGCAGGGCGGAAGTAAGAGCCACCTACTTCTCTCTCCCGTCTGTGGACACGGCAATAATCAGATCATGGGTTAGTGTGAAATGGAGCATTCCACACCCAGCCCCCCATCACCCCCCCATCACTGTGTGCCTCCCTCCTCTGCTGTCAGCGCCTTCCTTCCCAGAGGGCAAATCTGACACTTTACAGAGAAGCCAGGTATTTTGCTGTGGGGATAGAGCTAGAGTAAACACAAGGCTTTCTTTTGCGTGGACCACTAGGAGGATTTTCTCATGGAACCAGTTTTGTACCTTTAAAGTAATATACTAACACTAAAACCCTATGGATACATTTACTCCTCTTTTATTATTCAAGAAGGTGTTTTTATGGGTTCAGCAGAAAACTAACTGGACTACTGACTGAAAGGTTGGCGGTTCAAACCCACCCAGAAGTGCCTTGGAAGAAAGGCCTGGTGATCTGCTTCTGACAGCTCACAGCCATAAAAACCCTAAGGAGCACAGTTCTACTCTGATACACAAGGGGTCCCCATGAGTTGGAATCGACTCTGTGGCAACCGATTTGGTTTTTTTAAGGCTGCTTCATGGAGCCCCTGGGTGGTAAAATGGTTCTCGCGTTCGTTCTGCTCAAACGAAAGGTTGGAGGTTCCAGTCCACACAGAGGTGCCTTGGAAGAAAGGCCTGACTATCTGCTTCTGAAAAATCAGCCATTGAAAACCCTGTGGAGCACAGCTGTACTCTGACCCACGTGGGGGTGCTGTGAGTTGGCGTCGATTCGACGGCAGCTGGTTTGGTTAAGGATGGTTCACAGCGAGCATTCCGAGTAAGGTACCTAGTTACAGTCAGAGGGAGTGAGGTACCTAGTTACAGTCAGAGGGAGTGAGGTACCTAGTTACAGTCAGAGGGAGTGAGGTACCTAGTTATAGTCAGAGGCTTACAAGTACTGGTCTATTAGCAGAGGGAAAAATATCCAAAAGCTACTTTTAAAAATATGATTTTAGAGCCTTTTTTCCTAATGAGTCAGAAGGAAAGTGTTTTCCCCTTTCCTGCTAGATAAATTTCAAAAGACAGAGCAGAAGGTGGAAATGAAAAACCCAAAAGAGGTCAAACGTTGCCCTCATTTGGACAGACAAAGTCTGCCAGTCACCTGGGCAAGGGCGAATGCGACTTCCCTCCCTGTTAGCCAGTCGCGGAACCTTGAGGCAGATAGACTGTTTACCACCGAAATCTTGTAGAAACCTTGACAAAGGGTCATCTACGGGTAAACAACCCAAGGGAAGGAGGTTTGTTCCGTGCCCTTTTCCAGGGGCTGGGAGTGTGTTACCGTGGGAGGAGGGAGGCAAGCAGGCGACTCTCACTGATTCCGTTTTTCTCGTTTTGTCTAATAATTACATTTTCCTACTCCCTCCCCTGGCTTCACGACATGTTCCTGATTTTAAAAATGGGCACTTTTTCTTCTTTTGCATCTTCTCTTATTTTCAGTCTTCCATTTGTACCGTTTTTCGAATCATCCCGGTTGTTCTCTGGGCTTTTGTGGCCTCGGAATCACCTAGCTTCGTTTGATTGTTCTTGTTCTTGGCGATTGCTTGCTGTTAGCTGGCTTCTTGAAGCTGTTGTTCTCTGCAGTATTTGTTCTGAACCACATTTCTCCTTTGACTTGTTACTGCTTCCATTCTTCCCAGTCAAAGGGTTTAATTTCGCTCCAAGCAAACTGTCCTTCTTTTAGATTTAAATAGCGCCGCGGCTTTATCATCAGCCTGCACGGAATCATCTCTTCGCAGTTGGGGCCGACGTTGACACCCGAGTCTGTGCGTGCTTGCGTCTGGTTTGGCGTTACCGTATATGCTTGACTATAAGGTCAGCCTCATATTACGTCGTAATTAATTAATGATACCTTTTAGTGGATGACAGTCTTTAAGTCTCTCTTTATTGTTTCATTTGACTTGAATTGAAGGTATACAAATCTCTTTCCCATTTGTGGGTGCATTTGGATTGGGAGAGTATCATTTATAATTTCTAGGTGCAAGTTTGTCCCTGAGTAGCACAAACGGTTGAAGGCTCTTACGTGCTGGACTACTAGCGGAAAGGTTGGCAGTTCGAACCCGCCCAGAGGCACCTCGGAAGATGGGCCTGGCAATCTGTTTCCGAAAAGTCACACCCTTGAAAGCCGTGTGGAGCGGTTCTACTCTGCACACATGGAGGCGCCATGATTAGAATTGCCTTGACGGCAGCTAACGACAGGTTTAAACACAGATTCCGCTTCTCATTCAAGCCCTTACCTCTAAGGCTGCCCGCAGCCTCCTCATTTGGAAATCCACTGGATGCTTTTTACCGCTCTCGTTCTGCCCACAGTGGACTCCTTGCCTCTTCTTTCCATCTTGAAATCCCGCCTGCCTTATTCCCTTGACAGTGGCCGGGTCCCCCCTGTCTCGCTGCCCCCTATTCCTTCCCAGTTGGCCTCGAATGCTGGCATTCCCCACCCTCGCTGTCCTCGGTCTCCTTTCCCTCCCTGTCCCCCCTCTTTCTGGGCCGCCCCACATCCTTTCAAGGCTCAGCTGCCACCGCACTGAGGTTGGAAATTGGTAATCTGCATGCCCCGTCTTGCCTGCAAGGCTGGCCCATGCTGTTAATGCTGCTTTAAATATGAATTTGTTGCCAACATTGGAAAATCAGGATCAAATCCAGATTTCTGGTTCTCTTGTAAAAACGATGAGCTGGCAGTGCTGGGGCTGAGCCGGGAAGGACTGTCCCAGTTAAACGGGATAGAGCTCTGTGGCTTATGGCTGTCCTCTCTGCTGCTCCCCTGGGGTTCCGGGACCTGAGGGAGCCCATTTTTAACATTTTTATGTATCACGATTGTGCTGTTTTCCTTACAATAGAGATAAAAACCCGTTGCTGTCCAGTCGATGCTGGCTCATAGTGACCCCGTAGGACAGAGTAGAACTGCCCTATAGGGTTTCCAAGGAGCGGCTGGTGGATTCGAACCGCTGACCTTATGGTTAGCAGCTATAGCACTTAACCGCTGTGCCACCAGGGCCCCTCAACAGAGAAGAGAGGAAGAAAATATTTCTTGTGCCTGGTCTCTGTTCAAAAGTGAGAAAATCAGAGCTGGACCAAGAATGATGAGTTTCAAAAACAACAGAAGCGAGCATTTTGTTTATGGAAGAGAAGAATGTTCTCACATATTTAACATTCCAGGTGTGTCTGGGCTGGCGGACTGCACCTTAAGATGCCAGAGTTTATAACCAGTAACCTAGATGGCCCTGGTGACTGAATACATACTCCCCCCTTTATGATATTGAAATACGCATAGCGTGAAGTTTACCAGTCTAAAGTGTATGACTAATTCATCGGCATTTAATGCATTCACAGTGTGGTGGAACCACCTCAGCCTAGCTCTGAAACATCTTCATCACTCCAAAAGGATGCCCCGTACCCACTAAGCGTTACCCGTCATTCCTCTTTCCCAGCCCCTGGTGACCGCCAATTTCCTTTCTGTCTCTATGGCTTTGCCTACTGGGGACATTTCATGTAAATGGGATCATTTAATATGTGGTTTTTAGGGTCTGACCTCTTTCCCTTCGTGATGTTTTCAGGGCTCAGCGTGCTGTAGTATATGTGTCAATACTTCATTTCTTTTTATGGCGGAATCATATTCCGTTTTAGCGATACACACCAAGTATATACTTTTGCCCACACTTTTTCCTTCTGTCTTCCAAAACAACCTCTGATTGGTAGTCCAGATTTGTTGGTGTTACTGAGTACCTGGAATGTGCTGGGCAGCGGGGTACAGAGGTAGCAAGGTAGTTGCTGCCCTCAAGGAGCTTACGGTCTGCTAGCCGAGACCCCACAGGCCCCTCCACTCTACCTGCCCTGACCGAGTGCTGTTCTCCCTGACTTCTCAGTGTCTATGAACAGTTCAATGCTTGGCTGCTAACTGAAAGTTTGGCAGTTCGAATCCACCCAGCAGCTCCAAAGGGGAGAGATCTGGCAATTTGCTTCCATAAAGATTATAGCCAAGAAAACCCTATAGGGCAGTTCAACTCTGTCACACAGGGTCGCTGTGAGTCAAAAGTGACTCAATGACACCCAAGAACAAGTATTTATTTATTAAAAAATTTTTTTTCTTCAGCTGTTTCCCAGAATGTGTTCCTTACTCTGGCTGGTGTTGCTCACGTTTCACAGACACGCGGTCACACGGGGGTTTCCCTGACTGCTTGGACAGCAGCGCTCCCAAATAATGCGTTTGACTCTTCTCTAACCCCAGTTCTTTTTAACATCCAGGTTCCAGCTTTGACCCCGTTTCTTTCAGAAGCATTCCCTGATTTCTTCTGCCCTCATTGCTGTCTGTCTTCTGCAGAACCCTTTACCGTTTTTGTCAACGGCAATTAATTATCTCACATTTGATATCTATTGTTGAGTGAGTGTCAGCAGAACGCTGCCTGGGTTGGTTCAGAGTGGCTCTAAAACAGTTTGTTTTTCTTCCGTAAGATGTTATTCTGCTATTTTAAATGCTTCTCTGAAACACTGTGTGGTTTTATTTATTTCAGAGACTTGAAGATAGAAAATTTGCTGCTAGATGAAGACAATAATATCAAGCTGATTGGTATGACTTTTTGTTTTGTTTTGTTTTAGAGCAAGATAGTTATTTGTTTCCGGAGGACTGACTTTTGAAATTATCCACGGGCAATACTTCTAGATCACCTCCTTTTACTTGTGATATTTAATTGTTGTCGTTAGGTGCCGTCAAGTCAGTTCCGACTCACAGCGACCCCGTGTACAACAGAAGGAAGCACTGCCCAGTCCTGCACCAGCCTCACAATTGTTGTTGTGCTTGAGCCCATTGTTGCAGCCACTGTGTCCGTCCATCTCGTTGAGGTCTTCCTCTTTTTCACTGACCCTCTACCAAGCATGATGTCCAAGCATGATATTTAATAATGGTTTTGAAAATGAAAATTAATAATAATAATAATAGTTTAAACATAATTAACCCATAAACCCATTGCCGTTGAGTCGATTCCGACTCATAGCGACCCTACAGGACAGAGTAGAACTGCCCCATTGGGTTTCCAAGGAGTGGCTGGTGGATTCGAACAGCTGACCTTTTGGTTAGCAGCCAAGCTCTGAACCACTGCACCACCAGGGCTCCTAAACATAGTTAGGAAGGTAAAAATACCACAGAGTGAATTTTACAGCCCCAAATAAATACTTGGTTATGTGGCTTTTTTTTTTTTTTTTAATTCAAACTACAGCTTCTTGATAAATTCAGGTGGGGGAGCTGAGCTTTTGTATAGGTTATTTAAAAATAGTGGAAAATGTTTGACTCAGAAATGCTGCCATTGGCTTCGCTGTCTTTTTCCACATTTCAGTGGCTGTAGGGGCCCAGAAATGAGGGCGAGTGCAGCGTACCTTGTCTTGTTAGTATGTTATTTACTGGAGCCCCGTAATACGATGGTAACTGTGCAGAGAGAAATGCCCACAGTGGAACAGTTTGGAAATTGGTACCCATTGGAAGGAAGCTCCAGGATAGAAAAACAGAAAAACCAAACCCATTTCTGTTGAGTCGATTCTGACTCATAGCAACCCTATAGACTAAGTCATAATTGAAAAAAACACGAGTTGCGATTGAGTCAATTCCGACTCATGGCGACCCCATGTGTGTCAGAGTAGAACTGTGTCCATAGGGATTTCAGTGGCTGATTTTTCAGAAGTAGATCACCAGGACTTTTTTCTGAGGTGCCTCTGAGTGGACTCAAACCACCAACCTTTTGGTTAGCAGCCATTAATCTACCACCCCAGACCCACTCAAACCCACTGCTGTCGAGCTGATTCCGATGAACACCCTCAATGAGATGGATTGACACAATGGCTGCAACAGTGGGCTCATAGCAACCCTATAGGACAGAGTAGAATTGCCCCATAGGGTTTCCAAGGGGTGGCTGGTGGATTCAAACTGCCAATCTTTTGGTTAGCAGCTGAGCTCTTAACCACTGCACCACCAGGGCTCCAGTCCACCACCCAGAGAGTATGAAAGTCATAACTGGTCCACCGTAATTCAGGGTCTAGAAGTGAGTTCACTCTGGGGTTCATTCTATAGAAGAGCTTTGTTTTATGTTTGTCTGTGTGGTTGCTCTTGGCAAAATCTCAGGGCGTCATTTTCACCCCCAGATGTGAGACAACACCTTCTTTTTTCCCCGCTCTCTTCTTTCTTTCTCTGTCTCAAATGCAAGTAATTTCTTCCACCTCAATGGCTTTGAAAAAATTAACATTAGGGTAAAAGAGGAGGCTCAGTAGAATTTTGTGAATTTAACTTTTTGTGCCCAAGAAGGAAATTTTGTTTGGCAAATTCTGAAAATCATCTCAGGACTTCTCCAAAACATATCACTCAAATGACTTATTAGATACTTTGCAGTCACAGCCAGATTCCAACCCAGTAACAGGTAAGAGGTCGCAGCTGCCTCCAGACCCCTCGGTTGGGTGATGAAGCGCCATTGATAGATGTTGATGGATTTACTCATTACTAGAAGATTAACAATTAAGAGGAACAGATTATTTTTCAAAAGCATTATAAGGAATCTGTCATTGGAAGATTCTTAGACAATCCAGAGGGTCTTCTTTCTATGAAATTGTTTTACTGTTGCATTTTAGTGTCTTGAGTGCCAAAGACAGAAGGAGTGAAATAAGGCCTTTGTTGAAGTACTTGGAAGATGTCTTTCTGTCCCTTGTTTCCGGGATCTGGGGCATTAAACAAAGGAGCCTCCCAGTGGGGGCTGAAGAATGGAGGAAAGGAGATATTTGCTTAAGGACTCTGGCAGGCTGACGTGTAACTTGTCTTTGGAAAAAGTGGAGGTGATGATGACAGAGATGTCCTGACAACAGCGAGATTGTAAGAGCAGAGGCTGTGTAAAGGCTGGGTATAAACTGGACCGATAAACAACATCACGATAAATGGAGAAGAAATAGCAGCTGTCAACGATTTCAGTCTGCGTACTTGATCAGTTGTCAACATCTGTAGAGGTAGCAGGAAATCAAATGACAGGTTGCATTGGGAAGATCTACTGTAAAAGACCTCTGTCAAGTGTTAAAAGGCAAAGATGTCACTTTGATGACTAAGGTGCGCCTGACCCAAGCCATGGTATTTTCATTCACCTCATATGCATGGGAAGCCGGACAAAATGAATAAGGAGGATAGAAGAATTGATGCATTCAGACTGTGGTGTTGGTGAAGAATACTGAATAGACTATGGCCTGCCAAAAGAAGGAACAAATCAGTCTTAGAAGAAACACAACCAGAATGTTCCTTAGAAGTGAGGATGGCGGGACTTTGACTCCCTTGCTTTGGACATGTCAACAGGAAAGACCAGTCACTAGAAAAATACATCGTGGTTGGTGAAGTAGAGGGTCAGCGAAGACGAGGGAAACCCTCTCAGTGAGATGGATTGACACAATAGCCACAACAATATACCAACATTCCAGTGATGATGGAGATGGTGCAGGACTGGGTAACATTTTGTTCTGTTATATAGAGGTCACCATGAGTCGAAGCGAGTTCCTTGGCAACTAACAACAGAACAACAAAGGCCGGATATCCGTTACAATAAACGTTAGAGTAATTTACTTCTACCGTGCATCTCGTAGACTGAGGCTGTGTTCAAGCCAAGTGGTGTCCACTGATGGGTGGTTTGCAGATCTTGATCTAGTGTTACCCATCCTGTTTCCTTTCTCCAATCTGCCTCGCTTTCTGTCTCCTCAGTGATGCGTCTTCTAGTCCAGTTGCCATTGAGTCAACTCCGACTCATGGTGACCCCGTGTGAGTCAGAGTAGAACTGTGCTCCGTTGGGTGTTCAATGACTATGACCTTTTGGAAGTAGACCGTCAGGCCTTTCTTCCGAGGTGCTCTGGATAGATTTGAACCACCAGCCCTTTGGTTAGTAGGTGAACGCTTAACTGTTTGCACCACCCTGGGACTCCTGGTGATATCTATAGACATTCATTTATAAAACTAGAAATGTACCAGAAAAACCAAACCTGTTGCCGTTGAGTCGGTGTCGACTTATAGCAACCCTACAGGACAGGGTAGAACTGCTCCATAGGGTTTCCAGGGAGCGGCTGGTGAATTCGAACTGCCTACCTTTTGGTTAGCAGCCATAGCTCTTAGGTGGGATACGAATTGTTGGAAAGCGCAGACCTTTTTATTGGTTAGAAGTTTGCTCAGAAGGTCCTGGACGAACCTACCACCGTAGATAATGGGTTGATAAGTAGCTTACAGATTGGCTGAATAATAAAACCTCTTTGAGGAGACCTGCCTACATGAAGTGAAGAAATTATATACCTAAATCAGAACCTGCAGTACATCTTGAGGCGGCGTGGGATGGCTGCTTTTTGGATACCAGGAACCATTTTATTCAAAAGCCTCAGGATCGAACCTCTCAGGTGGGCAACTGCTGAACTGGCATCTGAGCAGCCATTTCAGCTTATTGGGACAGAATAGGCTCTAGTGGGGGTTTAGGTCAGAAACCAGGATTCCCAAAACTGCTGGAGAGGAGGCTCTGGTGATTGGACTTCCCTGTTAGAATGGAAACCCTGGTGGCGCAGTGGTTAAGAGCTACGGCTGCTAACCAAAAGGTCGGCGCTCCTTGGAAACCTATGGGGCAGTTCTACTCTGTCCTATAGTATCGCTATGGGTTGGAATAGACTCGACAGCAACGGGTTTGTTTTTGGGTTTTGTTAGAAGTGGTCTCTGGGTGGTGCAAACGTTTTGCTCTTGACTGCTAACCTAAAGGTTGGTGGTTCAAACCCACCCAGCAGCACCAGGAAGAAAGGCCTGGCGGTCTGCTTCCATAAAGATTACAGCCAAGAAAACCCAATGGGGCAGTTCTACTCTGTACACATGGGAATCTCTCAATGGCGATGGGTTTGTTAGAACTTACTTTTCCCTTAGCTCCCAATTCTCTCATGCCCAGCTAACACCCAAGTGCCCTAGCTCTCACCTGTAGCTGAAAGACGTTATCCTACCCCAGAGCAACAGGGAATCACATTTTGCTTAGCAGAATCTGCATTCTCTTGTCTTTTTTTTTTTAAAAAAAATGCGGCGGGCGTAGGGGGTGAGGAGAGGTGCCGGGGGGAAGGCAGATCCAGTGTCTTGTGGGTTTTCTTGCCTGTGGGCTGGGCAATTTGGATCAAACATCTCCTCTCCAGTCTTTCGGTAACTTGAAAGCGCTTTGAACCTTTCTTCAAAGGAATTACCTAGTTGTTTTTCAAAGGTTGATTATAGCTATTATCATTTCCTCTTTTAAGAGTTTCTCTTTCTTTGAAAGAATTTGATTTAAATAAATCTACTTAAGGCATGTTTCAGATTAGTCAGAATTACCGGGAGTAAGATTTGATTTAATCGGGACTTTTTTTTTTCCCCTTCCAAAAAACAGTCTGATGTTTGATAGTTGAGTATCTTAAAATGTATGAACCACGACTGAGAACACTTTCTTTCGCATTAGTATTCCAAAGCAGCATTCACTCGGGCATTTTTTGAGATTCATTTTTCAGCTCTGGGGCAAACGGAGGGATAATTGGCTTATGTATTTACCAAATCTGATTGAGGCAGCCCGTCTGACATTTCCTGGGAGGTGAACGTCTCTGTAGTCTCTCCGTTCTAATTATAGGCAGATATATGTGTAAAACTTGAATAATTACAATTATGAATGTGAAATGTACTAGCTCTTTCTCTACAGTATATTTTAAATTAAACGCCTTCGGCTAGGTCAACGTGAGCCAGTTAAAATGCAGATTTTTATCTCCTCCACTCCCCAAATCCTCCACTAATTTATCTCCTGGAAGCTGTGCTTAAGATAAGGCGAGACTCCCTATTTGCAGATTGGCCTGGGAACAGTGGGGGTGACCTCCCCTCTTATCTCCTTGCCCTCGTCTGCTGACAAGCACATCTTTATAGACAAGTCTGGAGTCAGCATTTTGGTCTGGAGCTGAGGAAAGAACTGAATGAAGCTGCTTTCTGCTGTTAACAGAACCCCCCTCAGATTAGGACTGGAATCTTGTTTTGGTTTCAGAAATCTAGAGATGAATCTTCTGGGACTCCTGTGAGATTGGGCCCATACCATGACTATTTATGATGCTTTCCCTAAAATGTCGCCCCAAGTAATACAGTCCTTATTCCATCCTACTTACACCCTCTCCTCACTTATCAACATAGTTAGGTTCCAAAGACCAGGTAGTTATGTGAAATCGGTGTTCATGCAAAAATGGAGGATGAAGACATCAGATCACAAAATGGAGGATGACTATATCATTACATCGCTGCTAAATTACATCATTACAGAACTGCCAGATCACATCATTACGTTACTGCCAAACCACTGAGAATCACGGCCCAGCTAAGACGACGCATAACCGTCACCATCACAGCCAGAGTTGTTCTTGCCGCACACTTCGGCGTTCGCCTCTGCCGACAGATGTCGATTTCTTACTAGTGTCGTAAATGGGAAAAGTTGAATAACAAGACAGTTAATAAGTGAGAAGGTATACTCTTTTTTTGTTTTGTTGTTGTATGCCATCGAGTCAATTCCTACTCATACTGACTCCATGTGACAAAGTAGAACTGCCTCATAGGGTTTCCTAGGCTGTAATCTTTACGGGGGAGCCCTGGTGGTGCAGTGGTTAAGCATTCTGCTGCTAACTAAAAGGTCTTCGGTTCGAGCCCACCAGCCCCTCCATGGAAGAAAGATATAGCAGTCTGCTTCCATAAAGATTTACAGCCTTGGAAATCCTATGGGGGCAGATCAACTCTGTCCTATAAGGTCACTATGAGTTGGAATCAACTCGTCCGCAACGGGTAATCTTTATGGGAACAGATCACCAGGTCTTTTCTCCTGAAGAGTAGCTGGTGGGTTCTGACCTCTGACCTTTTGGTTAGCAGCCGAGCGCTTAACCGTTGCGCCATCAGGGCTCCTTGTCTTTCCATTTTACCATAGTAAAAAAAAAAACCAAAAAACCAGTTTCCATCCAGTTGACTTCGACTTATGGTGACCCCATGTGTGTCAGAGTAGAGCTGTGCTCCATAGGGTTTTCAATGCCTGATTGTTCAGAAGTAGATTGCCAGGCCTTTCTTCCGAGGCAGCTCTGAGTGGACTTGCCCTCCAACCTTTAGGTTAGCAGCTTAGCGTGTTAACTGTTTGCACCACCCAGGGGCTCCTTTACCATAGTAGGTGCTCTTTATATACCTTTGTTATCTCATCAAAATTCCTTTCAGCTGATAGTTTTCCCTTTTTTTTTTTTTAATGGAGGTAAAATTCACATGACATAAAACTAACAATTAACCATTTTAAAGTGTGCAATTCAGTGGCGTTTAGTACATTTCCAGTGTTGTACAACCACCACCTCCACCTAGTTCCAAGACCAGGCATATTTTTTAGTGGAAGAATTTTTCATGGCTCATGTAGTTTAAAAAAAAAAAAAGTTACTGCCCACTATTTAAAAGAAAGTCCAAATGCCTAATATTCAAGGACTTCTTTCTAGATGATTATTGATTCTCGACATGTGCACCCTAGGTTGAGTAAATGTCATAAATAGATTTTTAAAATGAAAACATTTTAACAACCATCTCATTTAAATTATGGTATGATTTTTCTCCTTATACAAATGATCAACCTCTCTTCCCTCAACTCAGTGATACTTCAGGGTGGGGTCTGAGACCAGGGTCCCCAAGATACTTATGAACAAATGTCTCCTTCTCAGAGAGGGACCCGGAACCTTGGTGGCCCCTGAAGTCTTTCTTTTATGGACCACGTCAGTGGGAAAGGAGCTGGGGTGGGGAGGAGGGTAAGAGAGCAAAGGACGAGAAGAGGCGGGAGATTAAGAGAAGAAATGCAGTCATCAAAAGCAAAGAAGAACATGGTACGACGTGGATGAACCTTGAAAACATTTTAAAAACGGTTGACGTTGATTACTTGCCTGACAGAGACTGGAGGAACCCCTGAGACTATGGCCCCTGGACACCCTGCTAACTCAGAACTGAAGCCACTCCTGAAGTCCGCCTTTCAGCCAAAGATTAGACAGGCCAATAAAACGAAAAATAACATGCGTGAGAAACATGCTTCTTAGTTCAATCAGGTATACGAGACCAAATGGGCAACATCTGCCCAAAAGCAAAGACGAGAAGGCAGGAAGGGACCGGAAACCTGGATGAATGGACACAGGGACCCCGGGTGTAAAGGGAGAGAGTGCTGACACATTGCACGGATTGCAACCAATGTCACAAAACAATTTGTGTATAAATTTTTGAATGAGAAAGTAGTGTGCACTGTAAACTTTTACCTAAAGCACAATAAAATTAAAAAAAAAAAAAGAGTTGACATTGACTCAACTCGACTCATGGCGACCCCGTGTGTGTCAGAGGAGAACTGTGCTTCATGGAGTTGTCAGTGGTTGATTTTTCTCCTGAGGTGCCTCTGGGTGGACTGGAACCTTCAACCTTTCAGTTAGCAGCCGAGCGCGTTAACCATTTGCACCACCCAGGGACTCCTTGAAAACACTATACGGAGTAAAATAAGTGAGACAAAGGGACAAATATTGTAGGATTCTCACTTCTGTGAAATATCTAGACGAGGCAAATGCATTGAGACCAGAGTGTGTTAGTGGTTGCCGGGGACTGGGGGGTGGAGGAAATGGGGAGTTCATGCTTAAGGGCTACCGAGTTTCTGTTCAGGGTGACCGAAAACATTTGGAAATGGATAGTGGTGATGGTTGTACAACATGGTGAGTGTCATTAATGTCACTGAATTGTGCACATGAATATGATCAAAATGACTAATTTTTTTAATATGTATTTTACCACAAGCTAACAAACAAAAACAAAGGAAGAGTTAAATGTGCAGCCCACGATTTCTCTCTAGTTGGTTTGCCAACCCCTGTTGTAGGTTCTGATTCTTCACCACGGAGCCTGGGCTGGAGAATTTAGGTGCTGTGCAGAGCTGGAGAGAGTTTTCCGAGCTCCGCTTGCGCAGGGCTCTGTTTTAGAAAAGTTATCTCGTGACGCAGCTTAACCCAAGTGGAAGATTTTTTTGGCATGTCCTCTTGATCCGTGGCATGGGAGTGACTTCATGGACTCAGAGCTCAGCCCTGTTCAGTGTTCTCCCTTTTGTGAGCTTCCCTAAAGCTTAAGCAGATGCGCCATTTGGCTGGTGGACACATACTAGAGTGCAGGAGAAAAGACACCAAGGAAATTAGATATAAATATTGCTGATTGAAGAAGGACCAGCTTTGGTTCAAGACTTTGGACGCAGTCTCTGACCACAGCCCCTTCCTGACTGAGCCTTGTGGCCCAAAAGTCTTGTTTTTGGGACACAGGGCCATAATATTTACGTTGAAGTTCAAAGGATGAACCTTAATGTTAATTCTGAGATAACAAAGATGAAGGAAAGCTATCAGATAAGGGCATACATGCTGCTAACACCGCTCTCATGAGCTGCCGGCTGCAGTACCTTTACCATCAAAAGCGAACAAGTCGTGCAAGGCATGAGGGACCCAGAGCAGCTTTAGAGGCATTGGGACTTTACCTGTTCCCAGTTGCCTTAACCATCCAAGAATAAAGCAGTGTAATGAGGTCATTAGTCTCGCTCACACTGCCATCTTTCCAGATTTAGTTTCTCAGGCTAATATTTAGTGTCATCTAGATTGTTGGGGGGATTCCCCAGGTGGCACAAACGATTTGCACTTGATAACTAAGCTAAAGGTTAGTGGTTCGAACCCACCCAGTGGCACCGTGAAAGATAGGCCTGGCCATCTGCTTCTGTAAGGATTTCCCCACAGCCAAGAAAACCGTATGGAGTGCAGTTCTACTCCGTAACACATGGCGTTTCTGAGTCAGAACAGACTTGACAGCAGTGGGTAATTTATTGGGCGTTTTTTTCTTTTTTCATGTTCAAATCGCCATATGTGCTGCATGGATTAGGGGAATTTTTAAGAGACTTCACAAAATGAAAACATTCAGCTGAAAAAGCCCAGTGTAAATGGCTGGATCGCATGTGGCCGAGGGCGACAGGGGCACCAGCCACAGAAAATCAATCTTCTTTTAGCTTTCCCCCACGGGCCCTCTCAGAAGCCTGAACACTGACTCCACATCCCTCGCCCGGTTTTCTCTTCCTGCCTTAGTCCTAGAAAGCAAAGCCTTTCCTTCTCCTGGATGGCTCATTTGCAAGATTTGATGGAAATAAGCTTTTCGGGTCAACATACTTTAGCTCTAGCTGGATTTCACAGCGAGGTTTGCTGTAAAGTGTTTCCAGTTACGTGAGGAAGCCCACCTGACAGCCTTCCTCCCCTTTTGTCTTGAGACTCACATCCGGGGGTTGCGGTTCGCAGCTGCTGCCTGGGTTTTTCTTTGGATGTGAAGTTTTGTGTTAGCCTGAGTGGATGTTTGCTTTCCTGCTGTCTTTTTGTTTCTCCCCCTCTTCGTTTCCACATGTTCTAACGCGGAGCTGGTTTTGTCCGCCCCTTTTTGCAGACTTTGGTTTGAGCAACTGCGCGGGGATCCTGGGTTACTCGGACCCCTTCAGCACACAGTGTGGCAGCCCCGCCTATGCCGCGCCCGAACTGCTTGCCAGGAAGAAATATGGCCCCAAAATCGATGTCTGGTCCATGTGAGTTACTGAGCTTGTAAAAGTGAATTGTCCCTCCTGTCGTCTCCACTATCACTTTCGTATGAAATAATGTTTGCATATTTGGTGAGAAAGTACTATAGTCTAGGCTCTGAAATACAGAATAAGGGATCCTTTGGGGGTCCATTCCCGCTTCTCCCAGTCTTTTCTGCACACGCTTGCTGAGTGGCCTTTGCCAAAATTCATTTCAGCCCTGGGGGGAGAAAAAAACAAAGTCTGGTTTCAAGAATCCCTTCATGTCCTCTGCTTGCTGAAGAGCCTTCTAGAACCTTCTGTCACAATCTGAATAAAACCCTACCTTGGTGCTGGGCTCACCAACCTTGTGGGCTTGCCTTCCGCCCACCTCTCCTGCCTCATTGCACGCGTCCCGCCCTCTGCTCCCGGGTCTTCAGCCCGCTGGTCTCCATGGTGGTCTTTCTCCCCTCTGGGCTTTGCGCTTCGGGTGGGGCGTGACGATTCCCAGCTCTTCAGGTGGCCCGCTTATTCCCGTGTTCCAGTTTTAATCCAGATGTCACCGCTGCAGGGAGGCCATCTCTGAGTTCCCCGTCACAGGCGACCCCTTTAATTTCCTCTATAGCCCCCATCACCACTTGTAATCTGTGCACATCCTTCCCCGCCGCAACCTCCCACCTCCCCCCAAGAAAAGGTTTTGGAGAAGAAGGAGCCAGAAAAACCAGACGATTTAGGGATGAGATTTGAGTGTGGGAACAGGGAAGGGGGGCGCATAATGACCAAAGGATTGAGGGAAACGGAAAGAAAAGTCAGGAGCTTGGTGCTATGGATTGAACTGTGTCCCCCGAAATATGTACTGGAATCCTAACTCATCCCCCTCTCCAGGGAGGGAGGGAGGGAGGAGGGAAGGAAGGGAGGGAGGGAGGAAGGAAGGGAGGGAGGGAGGGAGGAAGGGAGGGA